CAAAACCCCAAAACCCCAAAACCCCATTTATCCGAATATTAATAAAGCTGGCCAGATAATTATAATAATAAATATACAAACTATACATTTTAATGAAAGCTTAAAAGGAATATTTAGATAATATGGAAGAAAAATATGATTCTGAGTGTTCATATTCAAATATCATAAGGAATACTTTGAAATTGACACAATTACCTAAGACTTATCTTTAGAGTTCCAATTCCAACAAAAAGAATTGCTTTTCCTACTATTAGCAAAGGTTTGGTTTATAATCTACTTAAAAATAACCAGCTACTGAAAATTTGCTAATATAGAATAAGAATCCTGACGAATCAGTCTAATTGATGTTTCCAATAAATATGAAATAATAGTTACAAAATATTAAGCAGGATAGTGTATAGTATTTAACTGAAATAGAAAAGCTGGTATTTAAAGATAATATATTGGTAAAGATTCTCTAATAAATACTTAATGATAAGCAAAATCAACTAAGCATATTTCAGTAAAGACTGAATTAGGGAAATAGTCAAATCAATAATCAAATATAAATCATAAAACAGTAAATTAAATTAATGAATGAGATCATCACAAATAAACTTCAAAAAAAGCTATTGAATAACGAAAAAATTATCGAACGAAGAATTTATAAAGTGCAAGTTTAAATAAAGATGTTTAAGTTTTCAGAATAAGATTTACAATTCTTTCTTGAAATGTATTAGAAAATATGGTAATGTAGTGATACTTTTCATATCAATAAATTTAAGATGCTATTTAAGAGCTAAGATTCGGTTTTAACTATTCAGCAATATTAAAATAAGAAAAAGAATCATCCTCTACATCTTGAGCATTTAAAGATTGGCCGCTTTAGAGAGTTAAACTAGATCAATCAGAGTATGTTGAGAATAATAATGCTTGAACTTGTTCCTGAAAGCTATCTTATTAATTGGAGAAATGCTTAAAATTTAAACTATGTGCTCTTGAACTCTTTTAGAAATGTGGCTAAAGTTAATCATAAAGTGAAACTTATTGGAGAAATAAGGCAAGCAGAGGAAAATAATGATGATTTATGAAAGTCTAAAATACTTTTCCTTTGACAAGGGTTTTTCAGTTTAATGATAGATTGTAGAAATTTATTGAAACACTTAAATTCTTAGAATAATTATAAACCTTCATCTTTAAATAAAATAATTTTTCTAATTGTAGAATATTTCAATCCTAGGGGTTTTGGGGTTTTGGGG